CATATAAACTAAATTTATTTAAAACAAAACTAAATTTTATTTTACCAAATATAGCCCACCCAGCTATATACTGCAGCTCTCTTTCAGAAGGGACCTGGCCACGAATGATAAGACCAATCCAGTGGCTTATCATGTGGACATTTAAAGCAGCCAAAGACGCCGGGAAAAAAAAAACAGCGAGCACGTTTATTGTGTAGACAGTCGGAGAGAGGCTCTCGGCCATGCAGGTAACGCGACAAAGGAAGGCGAGAAGTCTGGACTTGGACAGCGGCAAGGAGTCCACAGGGAGAAGGGACTTCAGACTTATCTCCCTTGGTCATGGGTTTTATTTTTTAAAGGCCCGATAATGCAGCACTTCCGAGCAGCATAAGTGATGATATCCTCACTCGGCGAAGCCGATGGTATTCCTCTTCGTTTGGCCGGGGCTCGTTGTCTGTTTGAGGAAAGTGCTCCTGCCGTGGCCGGGGTGGAGGCGGAGGGACAGCGCATTCGGGTCCTGAAGCGCGGCTCGGCTTCAACGAGCACATCGACTGTGCGAGGTTTAAAACAACAACAACAGCAGCAGCAACAACAACAAAAAGACACCGAGGCGCTTAAAAGAATGCCAATATCCGACGGTGAATTAAATAAAGCTAGGCGGTCTGTAGGCACCGGTACAGTGTGACAGGGAGCGGTGGGCTGCCGCATAAATAATTCATAAGCAGTGTGAACGAGAATCGGGATGTACCATCACCTGGGCGGGCTGGGGGTGCCGGGGGGATGGATGACATGGGCAAGGCACATCAGCATGCGACTTGCGGACACGGGCGCTACGCTCGCATTTAACGCGGCGCACGCCGCACAAACGCCGGCGCCTCCTCCTCCTCCTCCTCCGCCACCACCACCACCACCAACATCCACTTCATCATCAGCTCGGACTCCACGCCCGTTGCCATGCAAACCACACGAGCGGTTGCCTGGTAACGTCGGCAGCAGGAGATTTCATCCGCAGGCATCGGTGGCGAACGTGCGACCTGAGGCCGTGGCGTTCGCGAAGAGGCGAACGCCGGGATTCGGCCACGGAGAGAAGCGCAGGAGCAAGGGGAGGCAGCGAGGGAGGAGGCGCCGGGTGGCCCCTGTGCCAGGGACGGTGTCCACAACCAAGGGTTAATGTCATAGCAACGGCTGGGTCCGGCTCCGCGGTACTCGGACTCCGCCCTCGGACCACGAGCCGATTGGACGTCGAGGAGAGGTGGACGGCGAGCCGTCCTTGTCGGGAGAAGGGGCAGCTCGCTCCGGGCTTTCGGCTCCGGGAGCCGGCGTGGAGGAGAGAGGACGCGGAGGAGGACCCGGGAGAGAGTGGCAGCGTCCGGGGTGGACCAGAGAGCGGGCAGCGGTGACTGGCTTCTTGCGGTCTCACTGACCTTCTCTCTCTCTCTCTCTCCATCTCGCTCTCTCTCCCACCTCTCTCTCTCACACGCTCCGTCTAATTATGACGAATCGGGGGAGGAGCGCCCAGCTCTCGGAGTGCAAGAAGAAGAAGAGGACGGTCCGTGGACCCCCCGCTCTGATGCCGCATCTGCAGTAGTGGGACGGAGACGGAGAGGCTCGAGGAGAGAGTCTGGCGGGCTCGGCTCGGCGGATCGCGGCCGATGTTGAATTTCGTGTGAACTGCTGCTGCTGCCGCCGCGCGAAGAGCGGACAACCTTTGCCTTTCTGCCGTGGTGGCCAGGCGGCGGATTACAAAGGTCGCCTCGTCTCGGAGTGACCGAGCGGCTGCTGCTGCTGCTGCGACAGGAAGGTAAGAGGACACCATCGCCACGATGAACACCACAACCACCACCACCACCAAACGCCGCCGCCGCCGCACACTCCGCACAGCACGCTCCTTACAGCCAGTTGTGGTCAAACAGCATCCCCCTGATAGCCACGCCAGCGGTGAAAGCATTCGCACGCCAGCGGGCTTGACAGCGGGAACAGCGTGCCACCGTGTACGCGCGCGGTCACGTCAATCCGCTGCTGGAAACCGGGGCTCCGTCACGCCGCGCGATTCGTGTGCGGGTTATTTAACCTCGCCGTGTGGTCAGTAGGGGGGAGGGTGGGGAGGGGGGCATAGACGTGGACACATAGAAGTACAGGACAACGATGGTGTTTTGCTGCCGCCCTCTGTTGTCGAGCATCGCGTTGAACTCTGACACCCCGGGTGTGCGGAGTGGCATCCCGTCCAAGCGCTATTCAGGCTCAACCCGGTCGGACGTCATTAGCGGCAGCGTTTGTTGGAAGCAAATCATTTATCGTCAGAGCGCCTCGCCAAGGCCACTGCTTCGTCGGGGGACGCTTGGCCATGCCTCACCACAACTGGGGAAGGGCGCGGTGCAGGAGCTCAGGAGCGGTTTCAGATATCACTCGCCACTGACGTGAGCCGTGGCCGGGAATTGAACTGAGATGCGTTTAGCTTAAGGAAAATGTCAAATGTAACTCGAATGTAATAACGTGCGCACTCTAACCAAGAGATTGTGTCCCAACATAATTGTGAATCGTCCACACAGCAATCTGGGTGGATCTTATCTAACATTTCACAGGCCGCTGTGTTTTAATATTTGATGTAATTTTGAGTGGTATCTGAACCGATCCTGGTTCCCCATCTCCTCCCCAACCCCCTCCTTGACCAACTCTCAATGACCAGTGCGGTGAAGTATGGTCAAACAACCCTCATGACCGACACGGCGTTGGGAGGCTATCATCCTGCAGTGGAGGGAACAAAACGTACGTTAATTTGACGTTTTGTCCAGGCAGTGAATGTACTGCTGTCTCTGACAAAATCACACAATGTGCTTCATGCACACAGCGTCGACCATCATCATCAGCAGCAACAGCTTTCTGTCACCTGGACACCAATTTCATTCATATAGACTGTACTGACCGCCTGTGAGTGGACACCCACAATGAGATCCGTAACGTGTGCAGTTGCTGGGCGGATCCTTCCATCCCAAAATCGTGTAAGAGGTGGTTAGCGGCTTGAGGATGCATTCATCCAGCAGTAGATTAACCATGGCTCCTGGTGATACTATATGTTTTTTTAGTAGGTGTGCAGCCTGCACACTTCATTGTGGTTTGGTTACCGTGACGGCAGTGATCGCCTGCAGGAAGTGAGCCCAGCCGTCGGTGAACCGCAGATGAGGCAGTGGGGTCACGCACTGGAACGGACGCGACTCCACTCACGCCGACGCGCCCCGCTCTGCGGGAAGCCACAATACGCGGTTACCGGCTTGGATATACGGTGCCCCGCCATAGAAAGATGGAATTCCCACCTGACATAATGATGATGGAGCCCTATATTCTTTGAGGAAAACCTCACCGAGTCTGAAGACTGTTTTTTGAGGAGGGTCCAACATTGGGACGTTTGGCCAATTCGTCGAACGGGCGGCTGTAAATGTTCAGTTCTGATCTGGGACTTTTTTTTTTCAAGCGGCGTTTATGATTTACCTATTTTTAATTTGGAATTAACATCACTCAATGCTAACACAACATTGGAAAATCGGAAACCCGGTGATGTATGGGAAGAGTTTGTTCTCGTGGCTGAAGCAACGCGCTCGTCGTGTTGGTTTAGACGGCGGTGTTCGTTGAACGGGGTCGGGCCCCGAGGCAATGGCACGGCCACTGTGTTTGTGGCTGCACCTGGCTTCCCCGTGCCAGGTGCGCGTTTGTCTCCCGTGAAAGCTCGAGAGCGTTTGTTGTAAAGCTGTCGGCACGGAAAGCGAGCTCGTGCCGTACGTGCGATGCGTGCGATGTCTCATTTAGCCTCATTTCCGGGGCTGAGTCATTTTCCGTTCACGGCTGCATCGGTGGGAGATGGAGTTTGAAGTAAAACGTTCATTTAGACGCGTCGTGATGTATAATGAACGTATTCTCGAGTCACTTGACGAGCATTTAAAATATCGCTCGCGCGAAAATTAGGTTCGCATTTGCTGACGTTGATGTGCACATATGAAGTCACGTGTCACCAAATCGATATCTCCCACTGAATGTTTTTTTTCTTCCGAGTCTCTGTTAGAGACTGGAGTAGGTGGCACTTGACTAGCAGCCACAGTTATAGCGCAAGGTAGACTGCATGCGCTGCGCCTGCTGCAGAAATACATTTTTAATTCCGGACCTGTACAGACCCAGCTGAATTTAAGCCCCGCGTGTCGCACTTTTTAGAGCAGCTTGCTGACAGAGCCAGGTTGGGTGAGGCTTTTGACCTGCCCCTGTTCCATTAGCTTAGTGCCTGGCCGTCGGTTTAATTGCCACTGAGGCCAGTGAAGACTGTTCCCTGTAAAGAAGATGATAAGATTAACGCCGTTGTACAGGTGTGGCATGTGCCGGTGCACGTGAGGGAAACCTCACGCTGCCGATATCTGCCCCCGGCCTTTCCTCGGCTTTGGCTCTTTGTGGTGCCATCGCACGATTGTCCTCGCAAGGCACGGCTACGCCACGCAGGTGTGCAGGCAGATCTTTTTGTTAATCCGCTGCTGAGTGAGGCCCTCCCCATGCCGTGGGGAAGGGGGTTCTATGGCTGTGCTTCCCGACGCTGGCGGCTTGGTGAAGGCGGCTGAGAGCGTAGACTTCGGGGGACATGACAAGTTCCATCCGACGGTGACTTTTGCTGCGCTGTCCTCTGCTGCCCACAGCATAACGCCGCAGCAGGCTCCAACACCTGCCTTTACGTACAGCACGCTGGTGGTCACCTATCCAAGCACTGTCCACGCTCAAGACTGCTAAGTTTCTGAAATCTGACGAGGGATATGGCATACAGAACCGAGAGCAGGCCGCGATACGCGGGCACTCCGAAAAGTTACGAGAGGCCCTGGCACAATATTCTAGATGAGGCTCTCTAAGTCTGTTCTGAGGCCTCTGTGGATCTCAGGCCTTGGGCAAACTGCCTCAGCTGCCCCTCTCTTTGTGACCCTGTTGAGACCAGTAAGGCTTAGTGGCAACACGACCCCAAGGCCCAGAGCTGTCAGAGTCCGGGGAGCCAGCAGCAACAGCGGTACAAGTGCAATATGGTCCGAAGGCGCGACGCCAACAAAATAATGAGGTTAAAAATGTGAGAGTATTAATAAAATATTGGATTATTCCCGGTACATGTGTCACTGCACCATGGCCCCCCAAGTGGGCCCCTTTTGAGAGCATTTAGTCTGGTGTCTGTGCTGCAAGTGGTGCTAAAAAAGATTTCGTATTAACATGCCATACATCTTCCATGGCTTTGGAACAAAGTCGTGCAGAACACGTCCATTTGTGATGGAGAGCATCGGCGTAACGTGTCGTTGGCGCGGTAACAGCGGTGTTGTTGGGTTGCGTTTTGTGAGCTCCCGCACCGTTTCTTGAACCCGGTCTCGGCACCAGAATTCCGGGATTCGAATCGTCTCGGATAAATTAATGTGCTCTGAGTTTGTTTACGTAAAGCCTCCGATAGCTTCGTGATGCGTGTGTGTATATCCATGTGCATGCCATTCGTTTAGAGGCCAAAAGTAGCACAGTGATAAGCACAAAGAACTACAAAATCTGGCTACCCGCCTTAAATTCCTACTCAACATCAGTGGCGGATATATGAACCAGTCCTTTCGCTCCTCTCGATCGTCTCAGCCTTAAATTCATACAGTACCTGGTATGGTGTGTAAACATCAGCTCTAGGCATGATGTTGGCCACGCTTCCTCCTGATGTGCTGTGCTGTTCTTTAAAGGTGCTTACTTAACAGGTCTTTCCCGCAACAGTCGATATAGGTTACACGGAAATCTTTGTCTTACTCATGCTAACCATGAGAGTACAATAGCCGTGAAATGTTGCCAGTATTTATCCCATGGCCTTACACAGAAAGCACTACAGTTAGTCACAGATCACCACTTAGATATATTGAGCCCAAGGGAGAAGCACATATGTCCCTCTTAGCATGGTAAAACGTCTCCATGCGTCTTGTACAATATGCCTACTGCACATTATTTAAAGCAAAATGTTCATTCTGGATCCTTTTTTTTTGATCTTCAGAAAATTTCTACGGGTGAGATTTAGGGACTGCGGATGATGAGTCATTGCTTGTTTGAAGAATCCACTGCACAGCATTCTCTTCCCACACCAGTGCCAGCTGATGATGACGTGCTGCGTGCAAGAGCTCACATGACTAAGCACGACTTAGCAGTGCCAGTATCGTACAGACAGCCCTACCGAAGCGTCAGTGCCAACAGCAGGGCAGCAGCCCTAGCTACAGAGTGTGCAGGTGGTGCAACGGCAGTGGGGGCCCATGGGCCGGAGGGGCCCCCAGACTCCGGTCTACGAAGAGGCAAGGCGCAGGTGGGCTTGGAGCCCATATGCGCTCGCTAAAAACCACTTGCCCCAACAGTCTGCGCAGGCTATATGGGCGAATTCCAACCCTTTGTCTGGCGTCCACAGTCTCAACGTGGTCCACGTTTCATTTCCCACCGATTAAATTAGGCGGCCGCATCTACCACGTGACGTTTGGACGCGGATGGCGATGACCAAGCAGCACGCACACTCTGACTCGTCCTGGCAGCGAGCTGCGTTTATCTGAGGACGACGATAGGGAGGGAGCGTCGTTGTTCAAGTGCACTAGACAGAGAGACGAAGATCGTTCCGGCTTCGTGAAACCTCATGGACTACGGAGCTTTCTCAGAGCCGGGCGTGAGCTCCCGGCACAGGAAGGAGACACGCGGCGCACCGATACTTGAGGCTGGCTGGGCCGGTGCCACTGCCACGGATTACGGTCTGCAGCTGCCAGGAGGGATTTTGACGTAACATACAGTGCA